ATAATGCCGCAAAAAAAAAACGTTTTTAATACATGCGTTGTGGGGCCTTGGTCTAAAGTAATATTTTTCCCTCTCTTTTTAGTCCTAATGCAGTAAAAGTCAGCTGTTGTAAACAGTTGTAAATTTCGATCGTAAGCAATCGCATGGATCAAAATTAGGTATTTATCGATTGATTTTTTAGGTTAGATTCAAGCATTGACTTTATATCTACACTATCTGTAGATATAAAGTCAATGATTTAAGCTTATTGTTGCATTCTTGTCAAGATTTTGATATATCGATGGTATAATGTATAATAACACAATCATAATAGGTGAAATAATTGAATCACTTACTAATTAGAATTTAAATCAAGTTGGATTCTTTTTGAGAGGTTATCTTTGTATGAAAAGTACTTTTGTTAATTAATGATGCAATGTGATGAAAAATACAGTTCATCACACGGACAAAAAGTGATTAACGACAAAAGATGAGTGTGATGAAGTGGTGAAGTTTTCAAAGTCTCGGCTTGAAAAGATTCACTTTATGCCCTGGTGATGTAATACACTATTTTGTAGCTCCACATTACAAATTTCGATGGCACTTTTATAAAATGTTAGCTGTATCAAAATTATATGCCGTGCGAATGTTAAAAATTGTATATTTTGTTACTAGTTCCAAAAGTGGCATTTACTGGTGCGAGCTCAAGTTTCATGTGCCTCACACAGGAACAACTTCACGTACGAGGCAAAGTCGAGGACGGGAATAATGGATCAAGAGCTGGAAAATAACTTTCGGTATGAGCTATGAACGATATTTTTCATCATGACACTAAAGTACACACATGCAGAATAACAGGATACAGTAATATTGAAACTATTAAATTTCTCAATTATACGACGGCGTAGAAGGGCCATGGAGTAAAATTTTTTTTGTAAAATTTTGACTTTTAATCTGAAAATTTTGACTTCTAATCTCAAAATTTTGACTTTCAATCTCAAAATTTTGACTTTTATTCTCAAAGTTTTGACCTAAAATGTCAAAATGTTGACTTCTACCTCAAAATTCATTGCATTCTACAACGTCGTATTTATTGCAAGCGCTTTTACAACTGGAGCTCAATTTATTGTTTAAATCATCTAGTTTTGAGTGTTGAATTACCACCAAACTCCATAAGTAGGCCTACTATAACCACAGAGATGAATAGATAGACTGGAGTCACTACTCTCTGGGTGAACATAAGAGAAAAGCGTGCAATCCAAGATTGCCGCTTGTGCCGTTATGTTGGTCATACTGTCTCGGTTGGTTGTACTTGTATAATAATAACTACATCTTTGAGATTAAAAGTCAAAATTTTGAGATTAAAAGTCAAAATTTTGAGAATAAAAGTCAAAATTTTGAAATTAAAAATCAAAATTTTGAGATTAAAGTAAGAATTTTACAAAAAAATGTTACTCCATGGCCCTTCTACACACAATTAAAATATCAAAATAAAAAAATATTTTTCATGGCAAACCTACATAACAACCCAAAAATGTCAAGGTTATATTTATTGTGCTGTTTTACGTTGGTGACATTCACTCTTTTGTTTGTAAGTTCCTAAGTTGTTTGATGACTTTAAACATCCACAACTTATTTTACTTCTAAACTACTCTATCTTTACCAACCTACTTCACAACGTGAATAGGTTCATGATTATAGATTTCTCAGATTTATCCTATTAATATTATTAATAAACATTTTGTACGCTTTGCCAGTCTGTAAACTTTCTTGTATTCCTATTCATACTTTTCCCGGGATTTCTCTTGTAGAAGGTATTTACATTCACTCTTTTGTTCATACTTTTCCTGGGATTTCTATTATAGAAGGTATTTACATTCTGTCATTTGTTTATAAATTGTTTGACGATTTTAAACATCCACAACTTTTTTTACTTCTAGACTAATCTTTACCAACCTACTCCACAACATGAACGGGTTCATGATTATAGATTTCTCAGATTAATATTATTAAAATTATTATTATTATTACTAATTATTAATAAACACTTTGTCACTTACTTTTAGGTTCAACATTTTGTACGTTTTGCCAGACTGTAAACTTTCTTGTATTCCTATTTATACTTTTCCCGGGATTTCTCTTGTAGAAGGTATTTAGTTATCTCTGCAGCTTTTTACACCAAATAATCAGCTATTTTAGACATACGAGGCATGTTTTTTAAGTAAGTACCGTTTTTAAATTTGTCCGTTCCAGCACTGCGATTGGCATTTTCGACATTTGCGCTGTGTATGGGCATCTATTGGTAAGACCTAGCCGGAAATTCGAGAAAAATCGGCCGTGTTTACATCCGGTTTGAGCATTCAAAATGGTGCCGCCAATTGAGACTGCCGCCGACTGTGAAAAGCGCGCTGTAATTAGATTTTTGAGTGCTAAAGGTGTGAAAGCTATTGAATATCATCGATAGATTAGTAAAATGTATGGCAAGAACATTATGAGTGACGGAATGGTACGCAAGTAGGTAAGGGCATTTACAGTCGGCCCCACCAACGTTCATGATGAGTAACGCACTGGGCGATGACTGGGCGGCGTCATTACTGTCCCCGTACCCAGAGCAGGCTCATCATAAACGTTGGTGGGGCCGTCTCAAAATGCCCTTACCTACTTGCGTACCATTCCGTCACTCATAATGTTCTCGCCATACATTTTAGTAATCTGTCGATGATATTCAATAGCTTTCACACCTTTAGCACTTAAAAATCTAATTACATCGCGCACTTAACAGTCGGCGGCAGTCTCAATTGGCGGTACCATTTTGAATGCTCGAAACCGGATGTAACCAAGGCCAATTTTTCTCGAATTTCCAGCTAGGTCTTACCAATAGATTCCCATACACAGCGCAAATGTTGAAAATGCCAATCGCAGTGCTGGAACGGAGAAATTGAAATACGGTACTTACTTAAAAAAAATGCCTCGTATTTTGAGTGATTGCAAACACACACTATGCTAAAAAAACACAGCAAAACAAGCTTATGCATGTCTCTATATAGGCCTAAACATTCATGTTGAACCAAATTTAAATGTGCGTCAGAATTGGGGGTACTGCCGAACTAGTAGTAACAAGAGCTATTATGTATTTAGAAGCTATCAAAACCTAAGGCCTCGGGTAAGATACCAGCGGCGAGCGGCAACCTGAGCGGGTAAGCGGCGGTGGTGGATACGATACAATCGGCACTTTTATAACGCTCATCAAATTTCCCCAGTTTTATGAGTCAGTTTAGTCAAAAATGGTAAACTATGCTTACCTGCAAGACATATTGCAACTATTGTTCCTATCTGACAATTGTTTGCCTTTAAAGAAAAACTTAGTTTTTAGAAAAAACTTAACCCTAACTTGGTCCCATACTTTTCTGATGACTGAATTGTTTTAAAACTTCTGTTTTGATCATTCCACAAACATTCCCTGGACTGCACCTCACCTATCGACCCGTATCGCATGTTTGCTGATGTTTACCTGTCATTTTAGGTCGAACTGAAGCATGACTCACCTGAGCGGCGAGCGGTGTTTTCGCGAAAATCGGTTTTGACTTGGAATCATGAGCGGCGCTGAGCGGTGCCGCTCATGCCGCTCACCGACCACCGCTCGCCGCTCGTATCGTACCCGGGGCCTAATACTGACTCCAGAAGAAATGTTCAACTTGGTTTTTAATGCCACTCAAGAGCTAGTTTGTATCTGACGGTATCAAAACCTAATACTGACTCAGGGCCGAAAGTGGCTTCAAAAATTTACTCTGTATGACTTCCATATGCATTTTTGTTAGAACTGGAAGCAAAGGAAATTAAGCTGCGATTTGCAAAAACCTATTCCTCCTGGAAAAATGTTAGCTACCACTACGATTTTTAGCAACGGGTAATAGCTACAGTTCATTGATGTACCTTCATACAATCACATGAGATCTAAATCAACGATATCAAGATTCATACATGTAGTGTGCAAGCAAAGCCACTGCTGTAGTTTTTTTAAGAGCTAAATTTACATAAGAATCAATCCGATGAATATCCATACAACCTTGAATAAATCTGTGATCCATCCATCTACATTATATACTAGGCCTATGGATGAAATAATTTTCAAGATTTTGTATTGATCACAATTGTCGACCCCTAAATATTTTTGTAGACATATTTGGTATAAAATTAAAGCTCTTGTCTTAGATGTGCCTTGTTTGTAGGTTTGGATGATATTTTGTGAAATGTCTTTGACTTTTAAAGTTTTAAAGTATGAGGCAATAGTAGTTGTTCGGCAAACCTGCACATGCGCGAGTTGCGGGCACATGTGCCCGGCCGTTTCCATCCCTACTGGGCACATCCGGCCATTTCCATTCCAACTGGGCACATCTGCCAGCAACTCGGGCATATGTTTTGTGGCACAGTCGGCGGGCACAAAAGTCGCACAGGCACTTGTGCCAGGCTGGTTTCCATTCCTAAAATTTCGGAGACTTGTGACAGACACATGACGGGCAAATGTGCCCGGCACAAATTTGTTGGAATGGAAATGTACCTTTAGAAACAACAGTTCAAAAAGGGAGCATATAATCGGTTATTTGAAACATGACAGTCAATTAAGTAGTGTAAAAAATAGATAATGTACGCAATTCCCGTCACACATAAAAAATAAAAAATAAACACAATATGTTTGTTTTTGTTTAGGACTGTTTCAGTGTTAGAACATCATCGTCAGCTGTATTTGTGAATTGCTCAGTTGGAAACCTCCACATGTAGAATAAACAAGTTACCGTTGTCCATTACCTCTACACGTATGGACAATTGCTACAGGACAGTGCTCTTATGCCTAGTGTTGAAACTTAGTCGTTTGTTTAGCCCAGGATATTCAGAATATTTTGATTTATCTTTTGTATTGGTTAATGTTATTCAATTTAATGTGAATCATTTTAATGTTAGGTCTAATCATTTGACTTAATTGTTGTTTACAGGAAGAAGTCAGTGAAACAAGATGGTTTAAGAAAGTTTGAGTATTATTATGCAAATAATTAATCAATAAAGAATACAAAAAAGTAAAAAAATAATTTGAACACATAATAGTTGGTACTAAAGTTCAGAGTGCAAGTCTGGTGAGCTCTGTGGTTGCGTTGTGGAGAACCACTGCTCGTAGACCGAGAACGGATCAGTTTCCCAATACTTGTGGAAACTGATAGGTTGTTGAGTGGCTAAGTACTCTGCTGGATAGTCCATGGGACGAGCCTGCCAACACACACCATCAACATTGTGAGATTCTACTAATATTATAAGTGAGAAACTTTGGATGTATGGATCGATGTTTGTGACAAGTAAACGCGAAAAATACTAAACCGAAAGGGTTGAAATTTTACACTAAGGTAGATTATGCACCCACTTAACACCTATTCACGTCCTCAAACTGCGCTCGGACTCCGCCCTAGTGGCTCTGGAATTTCCCCATGTTAACCTTATGAGTATTCATATTTTAAAGATATTAAAGACATTTTTCAGCTGTTTTAACTACACAAGTTGGTTCTATGATATTCGATAGCATTAAAAACTTATAAGGTTTGCAAAAAGGGTGAAGCACTATTATTTTGTTTGTCACAGGGATAGACAAGTCTCAAAATTTTGGGATATTTTCAGGAAATTTTAAATCTTGTTCTACGAGAAGAGATTTTATTTAGGTCAAGATTTGTTTGAGATGAGAAAAAAAAACTTTGAAAACGCCCGCAGAAAGTTAATGCAATACCCGCAATACAGGAGTGCGTTGTTTTTGCGTTTCCTTTGCGAAGGTGGTTTTTATTTAATACATTCTTTATATGTAAATATCGCTTTAATTGTTTTATAACTTTATGTTTTGACATCGCAAATGATAAGAAGTTTTGGTAAGTGTAAGCAGTGAGAGAGATGTTTTACTACTGTAAATACAGTTCGCGGCACTTTCAATTAACACAGAAATTTTAAACTGTCACAGTAACTCAACGGAGTACAGCAGACCTCTTACTAGCACGGCTAGATGCCAACTGAGCTGCATAACGAACTAACACCAAGATGGTCGCGCTAGCAGACAAAAACGTTATCTACTTTCTGGATAGCCCTCGTAAAAATAATAAAAGACCGAAAATTTTTTACTTAATACTTAACTAATAAGACTGATGTGTCAGACTGATAAATTTTGTATTTTTCAAAGTTGAACTATATCATAATTGATATCACCATGTTTTATAAGCGTAAGAGCTATTTTTAATAAGGTAGGTCTAATTAATTTTTTTATACTAATATTTTTTATTGATGTTTTTTAATAAAATATTTTAAATATTCTTGACTATTATTATTATTATTATTATATAGTAAAAAAGTGTTTTTTGTTGTAAAATGTTAATACTGTAGTTTAGTAAGAAATGAATGTATTTTCTAATTTTGATCATACTGTAATATATTCACGAACAAGCAAACTGCAACAGTTGACTCCATAAGATTAACATGGGAATTTTAAAATACACTATTTTTGAATTTTCTCCGTGACCGTTAGGCATACAACAGCGCTTCAATATATTAAACTATTTCTTTTTTTAAGCTCTACAAAACGGTTTAGAAAGAAATTGAAACTTTCTTTGTTTTTAGGGTCAAAAATGGGAGAAAACCCATTTTTACCCCATAAACCCCCGTTCCCATAGTCCTATCATGGTGGTTCGCGGACTCGTTCGAATAAATGTAGGTTAACACGTTTGTACCAAATTTCATTAAAATCTGATCATTTTTACTCGAGTTATCGCGCTAACGGATTCACACACACAAGGCGCAAAAAGTTGCCAAAGCTGGATAATGCCAAGAATAAATAATACTCCCGCCACAGCAAACCTGCAAACTAAGCGAATATCCATTTGCGTGGTTGGATTTTCAATTAAATCTATTTAAATAACAAAAGATATAACAAGTACCTAGGTTTGCTGTTACAGGGAGGGTAATAAAGTGTGTCTTTTAGTAAAATGTTAATAGTATAAAACATATATACAAGTTTGATTAAAAATATCCATAAACAAGCAAACTACAACAGTATACAATATATTCTCCATAAAAATAACATAAGAATTTCAAAAATCCAATTTTTAGAATTTTATCTGTAACCAGTAACCGTAAAAAAACCCCTAAAATGGTTTAAAGAGAAATTGGGAAATATATTTTGAGGGTCAAAAATGAGAAAACAAATTTTTACCCCATAAACCTAACCCCCCCCCCCCCACGATACACCCTGTTCACATGGTCTGATCATACTGGTCACAAACTCGTTTAAGTTTACCCCGCCCTATATATTCAAGCCAAATTTTGTAAATACTGTATTGGACAAAAATTATCGGATATTGCGTTCACAGACTTGTGTGTATAGTGTGTATATAACTGTATATAAAAATTTAACATATATAAAAATTTAGTGTTTTTGGCCTCTAGCTAGGGACCTCAAAATTAAAAAGTATCAGTCTGGTCTGGGCCTAGGTCTTACCGTGCCACCTATGGTAATAGCTACTTCCCTATAGGGAAATTTGCTTAAGTGTTACATATGAGCCTTGTAAATTGTGATAAACTGAATATTTGAAAAAAAAAATGTCTAGGTTTAGCTTTACAATTAAAACTTAACTACTATATTACCAAACTTAACATTGTTTAGGCCTAAAATGTTTTTAAACATGAAAACATAAATTTGAATTTCAACAGTTTTACAAAAAATGTTGGCAAAATGCGTAGAAGGTAAATAATTAATCAATAACACAGTACAACACAACACACTTAAACATAGAAAAGTAAAATGTTCAAAAGTGAGATTAAATGTTAGTTCTTTTCCTTATAACAAAATTATAACAAGAAGAACGATTTAGGTTTAATTATTGAACTGTTGTTACCTTAGCCTTTGTTCTTGCAGAAAGACGTTAAAATCCTCCAATATATTTCGCCACAGTGTGTAGCATCATCAGGGAGACGAGAAGAACTATTTACACACTTTTATATACAGTTTATACACACATCACAAGACCGTACGTTTACGTCGCGGCGACTTCACGAACAGATTTTAACATCTTTCTGCAAGAACAAAGGCTAAGGTAACAACAGTTCAATAATTAAATACCTATTCTAGTTCTTGCCACTGGGAAATACGTCAAATAATGATTAAGGTTATTATTTTTGAAAGTAGGCCTACAATCCAGTCTCAAATTTCTTACCCAAGTAACATGAATTATACTGAATGCTAATGAGATTATTACACTTGTCCAAAGTTTTTGCACTGAGTCAGTTTGGAAAAAAATGTGGGTTTGTCGCTCCAAAATGTTTTGGGTTTGGCAAAAATGTTCTCAATCATATTATTGTCAGTTTTAACAATGTTCTCATAAATAAAGCTTTGGGTAAGTAAATGACAACTAGTGGCTTATAGGGACATAAATCCCTAAAAAGGTCATATGTACAACAAATTATTATGTTAACCAAACAAAAATTATGTTAAACATTTCTTCAACAATAACCTTTAAATGTGAAGAAATATAAACAAAGTACTGTAAAATAATTTTGTAAACATGTAAAACTGAAGTGTTTCAATAAACAATAGAATATCCAAATTATTTTACTTTTTAAAAATGTTCTGTTAAAATGGATAAAATTCATTATTTTTTAACATGCACCTGGCTAATTTATATACAAATACACAAATTTACTAATTTTACAGTAAAATTGATTTCAACATTCTAAGACATAACGAAAAAGTCTCAATTATAGGAAGAGTTTTTTATATAGTATACAGTACATTGCAGAATCGACTAGCAAATGAGTATAATCCAAATGTAATATTGCTTACTGGCTTGATGATAAATCACGATCAGCTGTATTGAAGTAAACAAAAATCAGCAGCAAATGGCTTCTAATGCTATTCTTATGGAGAACATTTTACATTATACAGTATCTAATTTTGTGTTAATATTTGGGGAATTTCACTATTTTTCCCGCCGTCACAGGATCGAGACCTTTGATTTGAGCCCTCTCCCATCGTTCTACGACTTCCCAGTCGCCCACAATTTTGACGCAAAGAATCGTCTAACGTAATTAATATATAGATAGTATTTTTGGATTACATTGAACTATATGGATATTAAATAGTATTTACAAAATTTCCAATGAATTTTGAGCTAGAAATTTATGGATTCTTTGACTTTAAGGTTGGTACACACCCTGTCACAGGACATTTTAGAAAATGTCAATCAGTTGTGCAAATAAAAAACAAAAATATTCATGGAAAAATAAAATAATTCTATTAAATATTTATTTGGATGGTTACCTGATGGAAAAGTGGTGAATGAATTATGGGAATTCCAAGCTGTTTGAGAATGCTTCCCATGATCATGTCATCTGGAGCATTATCAGCAAAACAGCGAAATTCACGAACCAAACTTGACAAAACTGCCATGTTAATAGCCGTGCCAGCTCCTCCTACCAAAAAAACACATCAAATTATAGGCATACCAAATCAAGTAGGCCTACTACGAAAGTTATAATAGTAAGCCTAAGTTATTTCAGCCCAGAAAATGTGGTCTAAAAATGTGAAAATTGGTAAATACTGGTGACTTTCCTTGGATTCGGATTAGACTCTTGAACTGGTTTAAATATTTGGATCCGATAACAGCTTTAAATTTGAGATTTGGATTCGATTCGGATTCAATAACGGCTGTAAATTTAAGATTTGGATTCGACCTAGATTTAACTCGGGATTAATTAAAATATTCGGATTTGATCCGGATTCGATAAAATCTGTACAGCTATGATTTGGATTTGAACCAAAATTTCTGGATTCGCACAGCCCTAAGTTTCGCAAACAATGAGTGCTCAAAGGCCGGCACACACAGAGATAGACAGACTCACGCAGATGGACGGACCAAAATTCGCACCCCATGTTATCGAATGTGGCAACGCACACAGGAATTTGTCCGGCTGCCGGAGTCCACTTAAGTTCACGGACCAACTTTTTGGAATCACCTCTTGGGCAATTTTTAAAAGTCCTCCTGGGGCCTTTTTCTGCTTAACATGCATATAGAGGTGTTTTCAATATTACTTTTCCGCAATGCCACTAGCTGTCATCCTGTTCACATGTGGTTGTGTTTGTTAGGTTGGCTTTTGCATAGTTATAAATAAACGTTACATTTTAAAGTGATATGGAAGTGATGATTGTAGCTGTGAGACGTCATCGTGTTCTTTGGAGATCCAAATTTGCTAACTTACCAAAATATTAATTAATAAACTTAACTAAAGTATTACCAATGTATTAATAAACTTGTTTTCTATGATATTTTTGACTGATAAACCCAATATTATCTTATTATCGCCTAAATTAATTGTACTAGGTAAATATATGATTAGGGCCAGCTGCTTTAAAAACTGTTTAACTTAAGAGTCCTTGGAGGCCAGCGGCCATTTGAGATTAATTTCAAACAGCTGCTAAAGAGTTATCATCCTAGAATATTTTATCAAATACCAAAGTACATCTTTATACAACGGATTTAAACTTCAATATTTTCTATTCAGTGTCCTCACCGCTGCAAAGCACGGGTACAGCAGCTAGGAAAGATTAAAAGTAAATGATTGAATAGAGGAACACCTGCTTAAGTTAAGTACAAATTTGTAAAAAAATCATAAGTAACATTTTTTGGGGGTTTTGTGTAGAGTACTTGAAAAAAATACTTATTTGTTTAGGATAGTTTTGCTACAAAAATAAATTTTCAGGACATTCTATAAAAAGGTAACATAAATACTTAGAAGAACGAATATTTTTGTTAGAAGAAAGAACATGAAAACTTCACATTTTAAAGTCACACTGATAGTTTTGTCATTTGTTTATAAACAAGTCGATTCTTAACTAAAATTGAAATAAAATTAATGAAGTGAGCTATTTGTCAATTTCACATTGGGAGTAAAACTCATCTCCAAAGAACGAATAATGCAATACCATTTACGGTAACCTTTCAAAGATTACTTGGTAACTGAAAAACGTTTAACATTAAAGAAAAAAGTCATCACATTTATTAACATGTCTGTTAAGACAGTTAGGAGGGATTGATAAAACTACTAATTAACAATAAGTAAAATATGTCAAATGTAGATTCATGCCATAAAGGGTGATTTACTACATTAATTGAGTTACGATCATCAATAAAAAATTCCATTTTAAACCCATTTAAATGCTCCTTTCACGCTACAAGACATCAAAACGTAAAAGTTAATCGGTCCCGGGTCCAGGTCTTACCGTGAGACCTATGGTAATAGCTTATTCCCTATATGGGAAATTCGATAAAAGTGAACTGAAGATAAATAACAAATGGTAAATTAATTCAGCTTTATTTTCATAACACAAAGGAATGTGGTCAACAGCACTGGATCTTTGAAAACAATACTTAAAAAATAAATCAAAGGCTGGTGGAGGGGGGGGGGTGAATCCCTATAACAAATTACCATTCATCCCTGCGCTTGATCATAAGCTTTACAATCAAACATAAATTTTAAAAATCGGTAAAGTAGGACAGGCACGAATGGATGTTACAGAAAAACCCCTTTTTGTATCAATGCATAGATGTTTTACCTGTTGGGAAGTTGTAGCCACTAGATAGTCGAACCTCGAACCCGTATCTTTCTCCAACCACTACGGCCTGATCTGACCAACAACTTAACAGTTGGCGTAAACGAGGAACACTGCAAAACATACAAATTGGTATAAATTTTTTTAAATAGGCTTTTTTACATTCTTGTTCAAACCTGTCTAATATTTATTGTGTGGGTTAGTATAGGGCCACCCTGTAAAAGTGATTGGTAAACTTTTGGACTCTAGCTGATTTTACCATACTTAAGCAAATTTTGTTTCAATCCCTTTCTATAAACAATAACATTCTAGTCTGCAAAAGACAAGAAACCAACTACTTACTGTGTAGTGTGGAGAAAAGTTTTAACACAAGTTTGTTTTTTGAGAGTGTTCATAGAACCCAAATGGAGATCAAGCGTGACCCCAGGAAAAATACTTCAAGTAAATTTGCATAACCATTAACCAATATCAGAAAGATAATAAGAATGAGAGGAGGGTTTTTACACCTGAGAAGAGTGTCATCATCAGTCAATACAAGCCACTGCAGGTTGGGTAGCTTGTGAAATCGTTTCAACACAAGCTCTAGTATTGCCTTTGTCTTGGCACAATGTCCCCTACCCGTGTTAGCAATACCCACTGATGTTGTAGGTATTGACCCATCTGTGAAAAAAAAACAAATTGTAAGATAAGCCTGTAAACAAATTTAATGATTAATTGGTTAAATTTATCTGGCAAAAGGAGGCTTGCTCTGCATAGCATATCCAAATTTACTAAAAATATTATTAGAATAACTGAGAAACCACCATTTTTAGGTTTAAAATTAGGCGCACCCCAACAACTTTGCCTGGCCTGTACAACTAAAAATTGAGATTCTTCAGTTGTTATAGTTATTTAATTTTGTTGAACTTGGTAGCTTAAAAAAACAAATAATTTAGTATATTGAAGCGTTATTGTGCGCCTAATGGTTACGGAGAAAATTCCAAAATATTGTAAATTTTAAATTCCCATGTTATTCTTATGGAGATTAGTCAACCGTTGTAGTTTACTTGTTTATGAACGTATTTTGATCAAATTTGGAAAATACATTTAATTCTTACTCAACTATTAACATTTTACAACAAAAAAAAAACACTTTTTTACCCTCCCTGTTGCAGCAAACCTAAGTACTCGTTAAACTAATTCTATTTAAATAGGGAATAAATGTGATATTTTTAAGGAGGCATTTTAGTGTAAATCCAATCAGACAAATGGAAATTTGCTTAGTCTGCAGGTTTGCTGCGGCGGGGGGTATTTAAGATGTAAATTTAAGGGACCGCGTCTCGTTGTCCCTCCGTCTCGTTGTCCCTCCGTCTACTTGTACCTCGAGGCCTAGGGACAACTAGTCGTAGGTACAACTAGACGTAGGTACAAGTAGACGGTGGCTCACCCGACTAGTTGTACCTGCAGATTTTTAGGAGGTACAACTAGACGTAGGTACAAGTAGACGTAGGTACAACTAGACGTGTATCCCACCGACAAGTAGTATCACCTAGCTTGTACGGATGCGACCAGTTGTCCCTACGACTAGTAGTCTCTACGACTAGTAGTCTCTACGACTAGTGGTCCCTCCGTCTAGTAGTCCCTACGTCTAGTTGTACCTACGCGTATTTTGCGTCCTTATAGTCTAGTTGTATCCATCCTTCAATTCGTTACCCTGTTTAATTGATTACTGCACGAGTACTTTTTAATAATACCCTTAATTAAATCAGGAACTGCAGTCGATTGAGTATGATTGGCAAATATTTTTCACCGCAATACGATGTTTTAGTAGTTTTACAGACGTTAATTGGAGGCTGAAAGCTACGCATTGCTGTCCAGGGTCGAAATGGCAGCTATAGTTGTGATTAAAATTTTCCAGCCCTAGTACCGAAAATCGCTTATTTAATTAATAGTATATTTCATTACTAGGACCGAAAGTGGCATTTTCCGGAGCGCGCTCAAGTTTTTGTGTGAGGCGAAGCCGAACACAGGAAAATCCAATTTCACATGCGAGGCGAAGCCGAGTATGTGAGAGCTATTTTCACGTACGAGGCGAAGCCGAGGACGGGAATAATGGAGCAAGAGCCGGAAAATAACTTTCGGTACGAGTTATGAACGATACTTTTCATCACGACGCAAAAATACACAAACACAGAATAACAGACCTCAGTAATATTACAACTAGTTTATTTCTAAATTATTTATTTTAAACATCAAAATAAAATCTTCTAAAAGGAAACCTTTGTATATTTCTCGATTAATCTCTTTTTAAACATAAAAAAATCTAAAGGGAACCTACTTAACAATCAAAAAATTAGAAGTTTATGGTTATGTTTATTGTACAGTTTTCATTGTTGGAGACATTCACTCCTTCGTTTAAAAGTTTTTTCTGAAGTTCTTGAATCGTTGAAACGTTTGTAGTGGTTGTGTTTGTTTCATCAACTTTTCTTACTTTTCTCTGAGGACATTCTTCATCTTCTGAGTTGTTAAACACATGATCAATGTCAAAAAAATCTATTTGGCTTCCTGAATGTGTTTTTTCTACAACATTTCTGTTTGTATTCTCAGCAGCTGTTGAACTCATTGCATGCGGATTTTTAAACAGTTTTCTTGACAGTTGTAATTTTCTTCCAATGGAATTTTCTATGTAACTCTCTGCGACATTAGAGGATTTCCAACCTCCGTGTGATTTAAGGGCAAGTAAATCCCCTCCTCCCTCAACTAGCATGGTGGCTGAGGTTCGCCTGAGGGCGTGTCCAGTATAGCGCTCCGGTTCGTCTAATTTAAGGTATTCTGCTACCTTTTTTGGGATTGAACTGATTGTGTGACCCCCTACATTTTGTCCCACGCATTTACCCTTCCTGTAACCAATTAAAAATCGGTTACTTTTCATTTGTCTGGGGCGCAATAACAAATATTTGCGAATCAAATCACATGGTCTATATGGACAGTTGTCATTGGTTATGGTAAAACTGCGTTTAATGTGTGTTTTGCCATCGTTGAGAAACACGACAAAAAAACTGCCATTGTCTGTAATATCTTCTACTTTTAAATTTATAAGATCGTGGTTTCGACAAGCTCCATAAATACCGAGCGTTAGGATGACTTTGCTCAATAGCCATTCATTGTCAGGAGCGTTAACCATGAATCTTTGAATTTCGTCTTCAGTAAAAACCTTAGCTTTTGTAGGTTGATAACCCACTGATTGACGTTTAAGAAATGCTAGAGATTTGTTAAATTTTGATACATCCACATTTTCTTTTAATTTCAAACCACTCTTTATCATAGAAAATTTACTCCACAACGTTGTTGGTTTCATGCTTTTAGATTTCTCAGATAAATATACTAATAAAACTTCGTCACTTACATTCTTTGGTAAAACATTGTGTCCTTGGCACCAGTCCATAAACTTCCTGAACTCCTCATTATACCTCTCTCTCGATTTCTCTGGAAGGAGGTTTTTGGTTATCTCTAAAGCTTTCTTCGATAAATCGTCCGAAATAATAGACATATTTTGGCCGCTTTTAAATACGCACTAAGCTAAAAACACAGCAAAACAAGCTTATGCCTGTTTATGTTTACATTTAGATTGTCAAACAATAAAAACAGCTGATTCAAATCATTAAATTAAACTGTAACAAAACACTAGCGCGCGTAGTGAATAAATGGAGAACTAATTGAGAGCGACGAAAGTAAATTTAGAGCGAGGGAAAATCAGCTGATCGATTTTTCCTCGCCCTAAATTAGAGCTTGGGAAACGGCTACTTTCATTGATGTCAGCTGTTATCGAAAATAGTTACTTTCGTTACGGAGTGATGAAAAACATTTATATATACAGGGTGTTGAAAATGTCTGGAACCAACATTATATCTGGTGAGTGGTTAAAGAAAAACAACTGATATTTTGTGTACGGATATACTATGGTTTTACCTATCTTTTGGTGCCTTATGAAAATTTTTACCACTTATAGGGAACGTCCTGTGGAGGATGCAGTAAAAAGTTTTAATGGAAGCCTATGGTAAATGATACATCATTTTAAAGGCCATTTATTTCTTAGTAAGGAGCCACAAGTTTCATCTCAAAAGAACCACCCTTGCAAAAATGGCGACTGTTTGAAATTTAAAAAACCACTTATAGGGAACGGAATTTTTAAATTTCAAACAGTTGCCATTTTCGCTAGGGTGGTCCTTTTGAGATGAAACTTGTGGCTCCTTACTCAGAAAAAAATGGCCTTTAAAATGATGTATCATTTACCATAGGCTTCCATTAAAACATTTTACTGCATCCTCCACAGGACGTTCCCTATAAGTGGTAAAAATTTTCATAAGGCACCAAAAGATAGGTAAAACCATAGTATATCCGTACACAAAATATCAGTTGTTTTTCTTTAACCACTCACCAGATATAATGTTGGTTCCAGACATTTTCAACACCCTGTATATCATTAAATATACATTGATAACCTTAAAGTATTTGCATTGTTTAGTGTGCATATCTTATAGTTTACAATGGATTTCCCAGTGATCAATGAACAATGAAGTGTACAATGAAGTTGAGGTCCAGCGGTTGAAAACTCGACAAAAACTATGCAATGTACTACACATACTTCTCCTTTTAGCGAATTTCCCTATAGGGAAGTAGCTATTACCGTAGGTCTCATGGTAAGACCTAAGCCCGGGACCGATTTACTTTTTCATTTTGATGTCCCCAGAGGCCAAAAACACCATTCGTTCAAATTTTTATATATCTATATATATATATATATATATGTGTCCATCCGCACGATAACTTGAGTAATTTTTGTCCGATTTTGATGAAATTTGGTTTGAAGGTGTAAGGCGGGATAAACTTGAATTAGTTCGCGAACCAGCATGATCGGACTATGGGAACGGGGGTTTATGGGGGGTTTTATGGGGTAAAAATAGGTTTTTCCCATTTTTGACTCTAAAAACACCAAATTTCTAAATTTCTTTTCAATCCATTTTGTAGAGCTTAAAAAAACAAATAATTTAGTATATTGAAGCGTTATTATGCGCCTAATTGTTACGGAGAAAATTCAAAAAAATTGTAATTTTAAAATTCCCATGTTATTCTTATGGAGCAGAAGTCAACTGTAGTTTGCTTGTTTATGAAAATATTTTAATCAAATTTGGAAAATACATTAACTTCTTACTAAACCACAGTACCTTTTAACATTTTACATAAAAAAAGTTGTTTACCCTCCCTGTTGCAGCAAACCTAAGTACTCATTAAACTAATTCTGTTTAAATAGGGAATAAATGTGATATTTTTAAGGAGACATTTTAGTTTAAATCCAATCAGGCAAATAGAAATTCGCTAAGTCTGCAGGTTTGCTGCGGCGGGGGTATTAACATACACTGTAAATAATAAATGTGATTGGAATATGTTCCATTTGTTTTGATTTTATTTTCATAATTAGTTGTTATTTCGTCACCAGCATAGCAACCCGTTAAACCCATGTTAGTTTTAAACATTTGTAATTCTTTTTTTTATGTCTTTTTAGCCTATTTTAATTTATAAAGGCATTCTGTAGATCGACAGGAAAATACATTTCCACCGATATGCGGATATTTTCTCTGTGATGTTCACGAGCTGATAAAAAGGTTGTAAAGAAACATGCT